GTCTATACTGGACCATTTTACTCTTTGTTGTGCAACTGTTCAGAGCTTGTAAAGTTTGTTTGTAATTTGCATTGTCTATGAAGTGTTTTCAGAGATGTTTGCTTGTGGATCCCGAATGAGGCATTTTCTCTAACCCGTTCTCTCTTTTGTGGGTCCTAAGGGACAAGAGAGGCTTCGGGGAGGCTGACCTTTGCGGACGGACATGCAAGGGTGCCGCGCGACTTAGGCAAAACCAACTAAGTTCGTGACATAGTGTTAGTGTAACTGACACTACCCTAGGTGGTACCATCGCCCAGGCTGGCGGTACCACCACTTGGGGGGTAGTGCTAGGCAGTACCACCGCCCAAACTGACTGTACAATCGCCTAGACTAGCGGTACCATCGCTTGACATAGTCTCGAAGACTATGTCATGATGGTGAGACTTCTTGGGGCACTGTTTGGGCCTTTTATTGGGCCCAACACAGTTCTTACATGGGCCTAGTTGGCCTCTAATTGGGTTGGCCCAAATCCAAACCCAATTATGTGCTAACTACGATTCCTAAGACATAATATAAGCTAAACAATTCCGTAATTCTATTCTTCAAATGAGCTTCCGGTGAAATTCCGGTGAACTCCTAGACTGCACAATGATCTTCTTGGCGTGTTCCGACAAGCTTCTCTAGCAAGCTCCGAGACTTCTCGGCTGGTTCCTCCAGAACTTTCGACAAACATCCGGACTTCCGACGAACTCTCGAACTCCCAACGTAATCGCGTCCTTAACTCCGAGACTTCATTTTGCTTCATGCCTTGCTATCGTAGTTAATCCTTCATATATAAAATATACTTCGATATAGACAATTAATACTAAGTATTAATTAAGTTGTCCGGCATGTCATTGGTCCCTCGATGCTTCGTCCGATTCTTCGGCGTATCATCCTCTCTTGTGGCCTATTGCCCAATCGGCCAGTTGACTTCGCAACTCCGATATCCTTGGCGCAATATTCGCTCTTCTTGGCCCGATGCCCAAATCCACGGCCTGAAGCCTTCTGTCGATACGTCGACCGTTCCTCTAGCCCGACGTCCAATCTTCTGACATATTTTCCTCTGGCACAACATGATTTTTCCTACTTTAATTGTCTCATCCTGATCGAAGCATCCTGCATCACTCAAAACGCAGATTAAAATATAAACACAATTATCAATTGGTTTCATCGTCAAAATACGAGATTCAATAATTTTCATGTTGGCTATTTCTTCTCTGAAGTTCTTAAGTGGTTTCATCCTTTTCTTATAAACTATACAACAATCTTTGTAGCTGTAACCTCAAGGACTCGACGTCATCTTCATGGCCAATACCTCTACTAATTGCATCTTTTCCATTTTGCCTTGCAATAATCTCTAGTCTTTCGCTCTGATGCTAAACTATGTTAGGATAATGAGGAATGAAATTTGAAAGGTTGATAGTTGTATTTGCTAGAAACACTTTTGAAATGGAGATAACTAGATTCACTAAGTTTAAAATTATAAAAGGATACATAAACTCACCATCCTAAGGATAATTAAACATGGATACAGAACTTTAAAAAAAGACTCATCACTGAAGAAAATATCCAAGAGATATAAAGACTAAACCCACTACTCTATGGTAAACCAAAAAGATACAGAGTTAAAAGAAAGAACTTAAAGAGTTTCTGCAAAAACAATCAGATCCTAAACTATTTCTAGTTCTAAAATATTAAAATAAATAATAACGCATGAAATAACAAAATTTATTACTTGTAGCTAATAACTAATCTTGTTAATACATTCCTTGGTCATGAAGATAAGTTGAATTAACTTTCCCTTTGAATCTACTCATCGGACCATCTATTAATGAAACAGTTGGAAAGTTAAGAGGCTGAGCTTTTTCAACTTATAAAGGTAAGCCTCTGAACTCTTTAGCAATCAATTCAGGCTATCCAATCAAGTTGGGTCATCTACAAGTTTGAAAAATGGGCTTGCAACTTATTTGGCTTATAGGCTTATACTTTTAAGAGGTCTAGATTAAAGGCTATGAGATAAGCATTATGGGTTATAGAGAATACTATATGATCAATAAGATTTACATGAGTTGATTGTAGTAAATTAGACACTTTCGTGTCAGTAACTAGAGTATAACATGAGTGTAACTAAAGAAAGTTTCACTAGACCTATCTAAACTTCTTTATAACTATCTAAAATCATTATAATATTTTAGTATCATTTTTTATTTTTAATTATTGACGATTTCAGGAATTAAAACTTTTAAATAGGGTATTATAGTTCTAGGTGGTACCATCACTTGTTTGAGTAGTACCATCACTAGTGCTCGATAAACCATTGGATATAGACAGTACCACTACCATTGGACAATATTGCACTGTGATCGAGTATAACTTAAGTGTAATACTACTTGGGGAGAAGATGACGAGGACCTCATGCCTCATTGGTGACGTTGACTATAACCACTAAGGCTGAGTGGAAAAGGCAAGGATGACCTCATATCTCAATAGCAGTGATTATGACTATTAACACTCATTGGGGTGACAATGACAACCTCCTTTCCCATCAGCAAAAACTATCGTGTGACCATTAAGGTCCAATGGGAAGGCGACGACTACAACTCCTTCGATTGCTAGGTTGGGCAACATCACTCCTATTGTCGATGATCATGACCAATGACAAGAAAGTCAGCAACAACAAATGGGGTTTAACAATGTAATTGGGGAGAAATACAAGGACCAATCTAAACCTAAATTTAACAAATCAAATAATTGGTTTATTTTGAACCATTCTGATTCATTTTATATCAAATAAACAATATTTTGACCAAAAATCCCAAGTCAAATAACATCAATAAATATTATCTATCATTATTTGATTTTATAAAGGATATTTTGATCTAACTATGAAAAAATCTGTGTCCCTAGTAAAAAAATAAACATGAGGGGCACCATCCGATAAAACCTTCTCGGAGGGATATTTTTTGATAAAATACCTAACTTTTTTTAAAAAATTACTCAATTAAAATAATCTCAAATTCAATTAAAGAGTATGAAAACTTGATTTAAACAAACTCGAAAAAGCCTCAACATTTTAAAAATTCTAGTGTCACTTCTTTGAAAAATTTTAAAATAGCATCCCTAGTGGTATAAAGAAAAAAAACCCTTCTTTTGCCATACCCGTTATCACTTCTGTCATCTTGTTATCGCCCTTCGCTCTCGTGTGAGGGCCTATCATCGCTTGCAGCCCCCTTCTACCGTGCAGGGTCATCCCCATCTATATATAAGTCTTATGCAAGGATTGATCACCCCTCCCAACATGTGCCAAGTTACCCCCTCCACTTGTAGCCCTTGCGCAAGGGTTAGTTGTCTCCCTTTGTTATTCATGAGGCCAACCCTCCTCCGCTTGTAGCCTTGCATGAGGGCTAGTCACCTCCCTCCATCTATAATCTTGCATGAGGGTTGACTACCCTTCTCCGTTATGGATCAGATCGTTCTCTTCACCCCCAACGGGGCTAATCGTCCCCCTTCATCATGTATAGGACAGCCCTTCCTCGGTTTCCGATGAGCATCGTTATCGTAGGTTTCTAGGTTTCAATAAACGTATGATGTTCTACGAGCTAGATTGAGAGAGACGGGATGAACCGGCAGCATGATTATTTTAAAAAAAATTATTCGAAATTCTTTAAAATACATGCGCTACATGAAAATTTAGAGAAGATATTTTTTCGGAATTCGTCTGTTAAACAAGGTAAATATATATTATTTATAAAGTTGGGACGGGCACGGCCAAGCCGCAGGAAACCCCACCGCCACAATGGAGTTCTCGACCCGCGACGTCGGTGCGTGGAGTGAGTCGCTCTCTGCCTACGATGGCCGCCTCGCCCTCCTCCGGAAGCCTGACCTCCTCCCCCTCGATGCCTTCTACCGGGCAGAGCTCCCCGTCCTCCTCCGCCGCAGGGAACCCCGCCCCTTCCTCACCAAGCCGGAACTCCGCCGCCTCATGCAGTGGAAGCTCTCCCGAGGCAAATGGAGGTTCTACTACCATTCCTGTCTTTCTTATCCTCCTATTGCTCATTGATGCCCTCGAATTTTAGGCCTCGGTTGCTGGATTACGTGTCGTCGCTGGACGAAGCGTCGGTGGACTCCGCCTCGCGGAGGGCGTTCGCGGCGCTCCCGGACCTCTCTAAGGCCGTCTCGGAGCTTACGGTGCTGAAGGGAGTCGGGCCGGCGACGGCGTCCGCTGTTTTAGCTGCCTACGCGCCGGATGTCGCGCCTTTCATGTCCGATGAGGTGGGATTAAGGATAGGTTAGAAGAGCAAAAGGCTAATGTCTTTTGCTCTGTGCTTGTTGCTATCAGTGATAATTAGATCTGATGCAATCTTTGTTGATAAAAAGGCTATGATGGCCGCGATGGGGAACGTGAAAGAGTATACTTTGAAGCAGTATCTTGCATTTGCCGAGAAGCTACAGACGAAGGCAAAGGTCTATCTCACATACACTGCCCTTAACGTAGTTGGCAAACATGCTGTGAACATTATGCCTTTTTTCGCTAGATATAAAGAATAAATGGCATTTAAGCAAGATGTTAAGGTTAGTTTTGACCCCATAAAGCGTGCAATTTCTATTCATTTTGGGAAAGATGACTTGACTCCTATGTCAAAACCTTCAAACGGCGATCAAACATATTATTCTGAATTTGCTAACTGGGACGGGAGACCAGTGTTGATGTATGTGATACCACAATCATTTCACTATACTCAGTACCCTTAGGCTAGGATGTATTGTAAAAATCCTATTGATAATATAAAATCACCTCCTAAGACACTTTTAAAATTTTTGGCACTAAACAATGGGCATGAAATGACAAGTGATTTTTATTATGTAAGCGCCAGCATTTTAATTTTGGTCTTCCCATCCTTTGCCTTAGACTTCTTAATCTTCTCTTGCTCGTGTCACCTATCTTCTCAGCAATTTGATGCATTGCAGTTTTTCTCTTTGTCTAGCATTTCCCCTAGGATTCACCATAATGTTTCTTATGGAATTTACTCAATTCACGAAACAACATGGTGTATTGTCAGTGTTAGCTTTTTTGCCAACATAAGGCTCTGTGATGTTCACCTTATTGCTAGCGTATTATTTTTAACAAAAAATTGATTCATTTTGACATTAACTGGGGTACTTCATCTTAATTATTATTATGTATATAAATTCTTGGTAGGTCTCAGACAATCCATATGTATTGATGATATTTCACTTTCATCAACTAAGATTGTCTCATTTTTATATGTAGCTTCAGGAAGGCCTATATATATTTTTTTTAAATTTTAAGTTGGGGATTACTTGAATGACCACATAACCATCTGTAGAGCAAAATATATCACAGACAAAAGCTTGGACTTGCATAATTTAATCTGACTAGGTAAGTACAGCCCACAGTGTAGGTCTATGCTGTTCACTTTATCTGGAGCTACTAAAGCATTTCCGTTCCTCAAAATTATCAGACAGCTATTTAGGTAAAAGGGAAAGAGAAATTCTATATTTTTTATTTGTCTTCCCATACTTTTCAAGCTTATGCAGTATAACGCAGGAAATTTCACAAGAGTTGAGATAAAATCCTCTTCAAATAAATTGTTTGTTTTTGCCTGAACATATATATTTTAGCTGCTGCTTTCTTTGAGAAAGTCTTTGCAAAACTGGTGCTGATAGGACCTCTTATACTTGAAGGATTTAAGTGCTGAAGGGATTATTTTCACTCCTTCTGATGTCGAGAGAGCTTTGTGGAGCTCGGCAGTAGGTTCCAAGTTGCTGAAGTCTCCACCAAAAGATGATTTAGAGGCTGGTGCCAGGAAAAGCATTAAGAGGAAAAGAAAATTTTGACTCGAGCTAAAGTATCTTTCACTTGCTGTGGAGCAACTAGACATAACTTCCAGTACACTTGTAAGCTGTAATATATTGACATCACCAACTTCGTCTCTTAGCTTTCAATGTGATGCTTGGGTGAGATCATCTGATCCTTTATCTATATATAGTCTTGAGGGTTTTGTGCTGTTCAAGGGATTAGGTGGATACTATTTTTTAGATTACACACTCGATCATTCTACTATATATGTGTGCATGCTTGCGTGCATTTGTTCGTAAGTAATATTTGAAAGTCAAAGAATGGTGAAAGTGGGTCAACCAAAGAATGTGATTTGATGGTCCTGTTTCTACTCCAAGGATCAATCTACATGAGACCTAGCTTTTAGTGCTATAGTTTCATAGGTCAGTAACATAATCAATTTGATGGTCATACTGTTCCTAATTGAATCTAGGCGACACAAAATCAAGTCATAACATGATGTGATATAAGCATTAGCTGCATATCCACTTGCAAGTTTAATTGGTAGTAGATTTGAGCACAAGCACCTAGTAACACCTTGTTTCCATGCTATTGTTTGTGGCAGGGTTAATGAGATGGAATTTTCCCTGGACTTCAAATGGTTCCAGGATTTGGCAATTGCTACCTGTTAACCATGTCAGCTAGTTGGCTGTGAAGCCTTTGACTCCTTTTGGTGATTAGAAGTGGATATATATACCTTGCGCCTGTTTATGAGTGTGAAACAGAGACAGGAAAGCATTCCAGCTGAACTGTTGGCTTGAGATTACACTTGTAATCATCTCATGTTGTTTTATTGATTTAGGTATAGATCAATTTTATAGTTAATGAAGGAAATGTAAACCTCTATTTTGGATAACTAAGAAATCAGAAACCTTGTTTTCAAGTCCTTTATATGCTAAAAACCTTCTTGTAGGTATTGTATTTTAAACTAAAAAGGCCACATTTCACTCATCCACTTCTTTTTCTCTTAGAACAATAAAAAAGTTCCATGTCAATTCTTACGTATAACTCATCTGTTTTGATGCCAACAAAAAAATGGGAGACCTTCATGGATGAACCAGAAACAAGCTGCTGATCATGCCCTCAGCCTTCATATACCATGTGATGAATTCATCCAAAAAAAAAGGAAGACAAAGGTTAGAAATGTGATGCTATACATCCGACATTATTCATGATTCAAAAGCCCATGAAATCTTTGAACAGATTCTTGAAGGATTCTGTACCGCCAGACAAACTTTCATGAGCTGAACCTAAAAGTTCAGAGTGATCTAAGGCCACCTACCAATGAATTAGTAAAATTCAGCTCTGTGGAAGTTTCGTCAGGAATGGAACTCATCATGCCATGCACCTCCTAACTGTTGTCAAAAGTCCAATCAGTGGAGAATATGAAGACAACCATGCGAGTCCTGCAAAGAAATGGCTTCTTCTTACCTGAGAAATATTGGTCTGTGAGAGGAAGGCTTGCAGCAAGTCCCCTGGACTGGGAGCAGTGCAGAACATTTCAGGTTGAGTGACTCTTTGTGATGTTGATTCATACAAATGAGGCTGGAAGCTACTCATTCCTGGACCAAATGCAAGAACAGCTGAACCTCCATAGCATGAATGGACCTAAATGACAGAAGGTAAAAGAAGAAAGATTTTTCAGGTACATCAGAAGAATAGTGAGCTTTCATTAATCATTTTTATCTTACATCTCCAGAAAGAGTTTGATCAAGATCAAAGTTCAGTTCTGGATCTACAGTCGCAAGCTTCATTGAGAGGAACTGTGAATTCAAGAACAGCAACAGCAGATGCTGAACTCAGAGAACAGATGCTGAGGGATGCCTCTTAAGGTCAGGATGAAACCTTTCTTACTGTTACAGTGGCATTAACAGGTCTCAGGAACTACCTCAACTTGGCGTTGCAATGACTGCACATAATTGATGATCTCCTCAAGCATCAATGCCTTGCCGTTAATCTGCAGCATCAGAAGATGTTTGTAGCAACAATTTTGGAGCCAATAAGAAAGCATTAGTTACCTTGCTGCACCCTGGAACAAGATCCTGGAGAAGTCTCATCCTTTCACTGATCTTTTCCCTTCTAATCTGCATACTTAGCAATCTGGACTTAGAGAAACTGAGAGCAATGATGCAGAAGGATGCTTCAGATAGAAACCTACTCTTTCTGCAAGGCTGTGACTGTTGGTTGCCTGACCTCGCTTAGCCCTGACATGAGTGCAATCATTCTTGTGATTGTTGCCACCTCGTTTGACTTCATTCTTCTGTTCCTTCCCATCTTTCCCTGTCGCAGCTTTGCCAGACTCAAATGAAACATCATGCTGTTCTTCAGCCTTGAAAAGATAGAAATTGGTTGACTTCATAAGTTTGTTAGTATAACGAGAAGAGACAGAGAACTCATCTTACTTGAACTCTTTCCTCTAGAGACTGGGATGTTGAAGCACCACACTCGGCTTGACTCTTCCTCTTGTTTCCTTTGATGTTTGTCTCAGTGATACGCTTGCTACTTGCAGGGACATGTGGATGGCAGGGAGCAAAAGAACTCTTGTCTTCCTGAGATCTTCCATTGTCACAGGATGAGAGACCACCATCAGCAACCAAATCACCTGTTTCTTGGTCTAGGGGTAATCTAATGTGGTAAGAAGATATCATATGTGCCTCGTTAGAATCCATCTGTCGGACCACTGCAGCCAGGGGATCCCAGGTGTTTCCTGAGCTCTCTTGGGCAACTCTTGCAGCAGCACAGGGAGCCATCAAAGTGGATGTTGTTGATGTTCCAACAACATTCTGGGATTGTTGAGTGGAATACATCTGAAAGAGAAACTAGTTCATTCAAGGCATCAACAATAGCTACCCAAGGAAGAAAGCTGAAGCTCAAAATGGAGATTTAAAAGTTGAAATAATCTACTGTGGGAGGCAGAAGTAACTTTTTTTTATTTAGCTAAAGAGATGGATGAATGCTGACTGTTAATTTCTTGCAGGACTAAACAAGGAACAACCACCCTTGGCAGCTTTATATCAAGAGGTGAAAAAGCAAGAGCAGTTCCCAAGCAAGAATCCTATACACAACAAACTGGTAAGAGATGCACATGTAATGTTCATAAAATGACATATATACAGAAAGCTAACCTTTCATCATAACATGCAAAAAAAAAAAAAAAATCTGCTCATTAAGTAATTTTATATGCTAGTTGCTATCTACCCCTGTTCTTTTTTTTCTCTCTCCTGAAGGTCTTAAATTAGGAATTCCAGAGGAATTGAAAGGCCATTTTTAACTAGAGAGAAGAATAGAAAAAATCACAAGGGAAAAACATTCCAATGGCATTCAAGTAGGTTTCTCACAGCATACATTTTTGCATGAACCTTGGCAGAAATTTGAACACTTCTGAATACCCCTTTTTTCTTTCTTTTATTTTCTGAGAAAACAGAGCTGAATAACTAAATTAGATTTGTGATAGGGACAACAACAAATAACTTTTGAAACCTTGTGCAACTAGAAAGGGACAGGAGGGGAAGTCTTTGACCTATTTCCAGCTAAGGGATCTTTGTGGAAACAGCCATCAGAGACTCAATTCTGCAGAGTTCCTAAAGAAACTACTGTTACTATATAGGTATCTGAAAAACTGCAAATAAAGAGTGAACATGGCTAGAGACAGGAGCTCTTACAAAATTACCTAAGTATCAGAGTAAATGTCTTCAAGCTCCAGCTCCACTTCAGAAAGAAATGGAAGTTGTGGTCTCTGCTAAATCCAACGAAAAGTAACATGAAAACCCGAACACAAAAATCCTATCTCCATGGATATCCTAACCAGTTTAATTCATGAAGAAGAAAGATTGTCAAGCAGCATAAAACAAGATCCCAAGACAGCAACAGATTACCAACAAGCAGCAACAAGTCGAAAAGAAAAAGGAGTGGTGTTTGCTTCACTCCAGAGAGGTGCTACTTTTGTTGAAGTGGGGGAGCTTAACCACTGCCAACTGCTCTCAGCAATCTATTCTTTTCAAAAGCCAAACTTAAACTAATCTAAACTGAGGCATGCAAGATCTTGTGGCATGTATTAGGTGGCTCAAAAGTGAGACTGTGGGAGAACTTATCCTACTGTTGTATCCCATTGTTGTTCTACTGCTTTTTAGGGGGTAAGGTGCTTCTCTTCCACACAAAGGTTTCAAGCTCGTTTCTCCAAATGCCAGCCAACATAACCCTTTTCCTCTCTCTCTCTCTCTCTCTCTCTCTCTGAAACATGTGGAATCTTAAGAGATTTTTACCTTCTTGTCCTTTACGCATCTAAAGCGGAGTTTGCTTGGAATTGGATGCTGGAACATCGTCAAAGGAAAGACATGAGAGAGTTAACCAGATAACCATCTCAAACCATGGGTTTTGTTCATGTGTCAGCAGTCATGGAACTATGGATGACAAAGATTTGGAATTTGAATGATGGCTCAAATCAAAACACAGGATCAAGGATCAATCAGATGGTTTGGGATGTACCAAGGGAGTTTTCAGGAAATATCATAATTAGCATTCATTACATACAAGGTTAATATCTCTCATTGTTTTGTTGAATCTAAGCATTAAAATTTGGAAGACACGAATGAATTCCATATATGAAAGATGTACTTCCAACTCCAGAATTAACACAGACATATCTAACCAATATATCTCGATCCAGCAAATCCATTTCTGCCTGCTTGCGGTAAACATTCGCAAAGAACGGAACGTACATCTGCTTGCCATGTTCCTGTCCGAGGCATGCAGCAAGTGTTCGACCAATTGCCTCCTCAACTCAAAGACAGGTATTTTACGACGCATCCCGCAAGCAGCCGACACGGATCTGCTGCCGGCAGTAAAAGATGCGGTCCACGGCCACAATGATGGAACCAAAGAACAAAGCACGCACCAGCAAAGAACTGCATGCCTTCTCGCCTGTGGATGGAGGGCATTGGGATGCATCATGGCCTTGCGATGACCTTTTCCTGTGCCCCACAAGCTTTTCGGTGCGTTGCAGTTGAATCCCCATGGGCAAGCATGCATCCACAGAAAGTTGCCACCTTTCTCGGATTTGACACTGCACTCAAACACTGCCTCTTCACGGTGCAAAGCGTATCATCAGTTCAGAAACGAACTGATGTGGTGAGGTCTGCCACCGACGAGGTTGAAGAAAGAAGAATCATTCACACACGTAAAACTTACATAGAGTTTATGCACGCGAGAAGATACTAATGCTTATAAATGTATTGGATCGTTTTCTAATAGCTTAAACTCATAAGATAACTCATCCAGAATATGTTTAATTCATAGAAACTCTACAAACACTCTCTACCTGAATAATTTTCTTTCATAATTCCTTTCTTTGACTATTAATTCTTTCTTCGTTTAAACGAAAGTATTTTAATTTGAACATCGGAAGAAGATCTCGTCGACCACACTCCACTTCTTGTAGGATTTTCCTAGAAAGCATCTCCAGACTACACCGAAAGCTCGAGTCTACCTCGGCTTATTTTGTTATATTATTACTTTGATATATTATTTGCCATAACAAAAGAAAAACATAATATCTAAAGGATATATGTTTTATCTAACTTCTCTTCATTCTCAACTCCTGTTATGACGACTCTATCATCACCATGAACACAGAAGCCAAATGACGAGCAGAAGCAATTTAACTGCAACAAATAACCTATCACAGGGTGTTGTTTGTGTCAACTTCACTCCATTCCAGCAAATGGAATAACAAAAGCAAATAACTCTGATCATGAACAGTCTACTTGTCTTCAAGAAGAACAACAGCTGTTTGCTTGTGCTAAAGATAATAACCTGTTGTTCATGTAGAAAACTTGAATCGGGCCAAAATCCTCATTATTGTTTGATGAATGGGCTTATTCCGACCATTCCCAACTTTTCTTCTAGAGCTGGTCTAGGGCTCTATCTCACAGAGAAAAGGATCCTTTTCACATATTGAAAGTTTATAGATATGCATAAATCTTAATATAGTATATGGATCTCTCAAAAATATTTAAATCCTTCACATGTGTAGTCTTGTTAGCATCAATCTAATTATGTTTTGATTTAAGTTAAAAAATAATAATTCTAAATACCTAAAATTTCCTACTAGAATTGAGATCACTAAGACATTAATAAATATTCTAAACTAATTCTCTACTTCAAAAAGGAAAAAAAATTGAGTTGGGAATAATTTAATCTGATTAATTCTTTACTTTAATTTATGGGAGTCTTTTATTTAGGCCAGAAATGCATATGTAACACTTTGGTAATTAGTTATTGTGCACAACAAAAATCCTTAATTGAATTTAATTTATTGAAAACAAATTTGGTAGGTAGGGAGTAACCTATAATTGGAACCATTCAAACTAGATTTACATACAAATGCATCACAATTTCTTTCTTGTAGCACATGATTTTTCTCCCAACAAAATTAGGGAATTATATAATATATTTTTAAAGTCAAAATTTTTGTTAATAATTGTTAGGAAAAGAGTCGGCGCCAGGAGGGGAGGGGGGTGAATTAATGCAGTGATAAAAATTACATCGGTTCCAAAAATTTCGTTTCGTACAATAAAATCGATTTCAGAAAGATATTTAAAATTAAAAGCATACGGAAGAGTGTAGCAAGTAATGAGAAGGCAGTTTGCAGTTTAAAGTAAATTACAAGAAGTAAATGCAAACCGAGTTATAGAGGTTCGGTCATCATGACCTACATCTACTCCACCGATTCCTCTTCCGTCGAGGCCACGAGTATCCATTATCGATCTTCCTTTAATAAGCAAAGATCAACCTCCTTCTTACACCCCTCTTCTCCTTTTTACAGGTTTAGGAGACAACCTTCATAAGCACACACTCCTCTCTAAATAGAATTCTAAGTTTAAGCTAGAAGAGAGGATTTCTCAAGAGAATTCTCTAGCATTTTCTCACTTTTAAACTCTTTGTGCTTGTATAGTTTAACCAAGGATGAGAGGGGTATCACCGCTGGTAGCATTTATTGCCGACGGTACCATCGCCCAGAATTCCTAGGGTGCTATTCCCTAGGCGATGCCACCGCCGACCAAGCTTTCAACATCCTGGTTAGGCCTTGAATCCGGCCCAAACTAGCCCAACTTCGAGCCCAATTGGCCCCTAACAGAGTTGATGAGATTACCTCCCAATCCCAACTCCAATTATGTGCTAACTATGATTCCTAAGATATACTTTAAGCAAAATAAGTTCGGTTTCTTCCGACGATCTTTCGGCGAACTTCCAACGATCTCTCGGTAATATTCCGACGGACTCCCAACAAGCTCTTGGACTTTACAACGATCTTCTTGGTGAGTTTCGATGAGCTTCTTTGGTAAGCTCCAAGACTTCTCAATCAATTCCGGTAAAACTTCCAATAAACGTCCAGACTTCCGACGAACTCTCGAACTCCCAACAAAATCATGTTCTTGACTCCGGGACTTCATTTTGCTGTATGCCTTGCTATTATAGTTAATCCTGCATACATAAAACACACTTCGATCTAGATAATTATTACTAAGCATGAATCATATTGTCCAGCATGTCATTGGTCCATCGACGCTTCGTCCGATTCTTCGGCTCATCGTTCTCTCTTGCGGCCTATTGCATAATCGGCTAGTTGACTTTCGCAATTCCGATATCCTTAGCGCAATATCCACTCTTCTTGGCTTAATGCCCGAATCCATGGCCCGAAGCTTTCTGTCGATACATCGACCGATCCTCCAACTCGACGTCCAATCTTCTGACATGTTTTCCTCCGGCCTAACATGATTCTTCCAGCTTTAATTGTCTCATCCTGATCAAAGCATCATCTGTCACTCAAAACGTATATCAAATCATAAACACTTATCAATTTGTTTCATCATCAAAATAGATTCAACAATAATTTTTTTTATCCCATAAACGTCTGGATGTTTGCAACAACAATCACTTTGTTTAGCTTAATCAGCAAGTAATTGTGTGTTCAAGTGTTGATGCATTTATGAGATTTGTATTTTAAATTTCCAAGTCTAGTTTATTAAAATTGGAGGGGAAAAGAAGAAAAATAATATAGTACTTCTGTGTCATTCATATCATTGTTGAATGTTGTATTTGGATTTTTTATATGCTAATGAGTTAGAATGGCTTCATAGTAAGCTTCGATCATTGCACATATCCCAAATATAAGGACACGTGGTAATCT